TAAAAAAAATGTCACATCACAGACAAATTTTGAATTTTGAGACCACAACCGTTCGTACAATTTCCATGTTCAACGTTATTGTTGAGAAATTTGTGTTACACCAAAGTGTCAAACAAGTAACTATAGAAAACGTGTATGGTGATGTGTATTTGGACGACTGTGTTTTAGAAATGCTTGTTATTAAAAATTACAACGGAAGGACGCTTGCCATCAACAACACTGTATTGAATGATTTTTCATTAACTGATACACAGAAAACGTGTGTTTCTTTCATTCACAAAACAAGTCCAAGTAGTGTTGAAATTACTGATAAAATGGTGTTAAATTGTGATGTTATACAAAGTTTTAGTGTTTCTAATTATGACCCCTTTGATTTTATCGTTGAGAGTGATGAATCAGATGTGAAGTGTGAATTTGTTGCTAAAGAAGTGAATTACAGTGGTATTTTAAAACGCATGAGTATGAGTAGATATGTTGGAAATGCCGACTTGTTTTTCTTCGAAATTAAATCATTTGATTTGAGGCAACCAGAATTTAGTAATTATACAAAGGTATCACTTACACTTGGAAATGTAGAGGAAGCAATTTTTTTAAATATATATTTTGAGAAACTTGAATTGGGGATTGTTGTGAATTTGGAAATTTATAATACGCGTGTTACATCTTTGGTCGCAAAGCATTTATACACATTTGGATATCAAGATTCGACCTTCAAAAACATAAAGGCACACACAATTGGTAAAATAATTGGTCTTAGAAACTCAACTAAAAATTTGGAGGTCGAAAAGAAAGTTGAATAATATATTCTTAAAATACTTGGAAGTTTTGATCATTTTTAAGTTCTTTTTTGTATTTGTTTACAACTATTTTAATATTGTACATATAAAAAGTACATTATCAATTTATATAACAGACCAAATAAACAAATCAATTTTTATTATATTATTCTTCTTTTTAATTAACATAATACAAAATAACACTTTTTACAAAATAATTAATATAAAGAGCACCAAATTATAGTCGTACAATAGTTTTATATAAGGTTGACGTAAAATTATTTTACCATGAAATTTTTCATTTTGGTAAAAAAGTATAAATTTTACCTTGGTGGATCTTTTAGATCCAGCCGTTTTACTCTGCACCTTTTTTCAAGCAATACATTTTTGGTCAAATCAAAAATAAAATCAAAATAAAATGTAATCGCAATTACTTTTGTTGATTTAATTTATCTTAAAGCAAAAAAATGTTGTTTGGTAACAAACAACATTTTTTTTGTTTAAAATCTGAAACAAACTAAACATAAATGTTTTTTTATTTTAAATATAATTTTATTTAAAACATAAAACACAAAAACAAATAAGTTTATATCGTTTATTTTTGTGATTTGGAAGTGGTTACAGTTTTGATCATTTGAACATTTTCCTTAAAAATGAACACAACTCAAAAGAATCAATCGATAGGTTAACTCGATCATCAGTAAATATTCTCTTAATTTCCGAAAACATTCTTTCACGTGTTGTTTCTGTTGCCGGAATACAAATGTATTTCATTGCCACATCATAAAGTTTTGGATACATATGTTTTCCATAAACTACCCACCACTTTCCAAGTTCAGTAACAGCTCTTGAATTATATAGAGTTTTATTATTCAAAAATAAATCTAACTCGGAATAATGAGTTTGTCGAAATAAACCAGTTGTATGAAGAACAGAAACAACGATTTGGGTTGTTGTGTTTTCATTGGTATTTATATATTTATTTAATATCGTTTTGCTCTTTTCAAATAAATCTCCAGTGAAAGTGTTAGTTGAATAAAGGGGATCTAACAACGTTGAAATAACCCATTGCTCTTTGTTTATTACTTTTTGTGGATGTTTTTCCATGAAATAGTAGAGCGCCAAATAGAACTTCATTTCAATAGAAAGTCTCTTGATGTCAATTTCAACTTTAAAAATTAATTCTTTTAAATAAACACAATATTCCGTTTTTATTCCAAAAATGGTTATTTTTATATATTTTTCATTCCATTTAGCAATTCTATTTTCCATAGCGACTTTTATCCAAACTTTATCCATTTTATCTCGAAGTTTTTCACATATACAAAAAGCCGAAGGAATTACAAAAGAAGATGTGCTATAATTTTCACCACTAAGAAGTGTTGTTTCATTTTTTATCAATTCTAATACATCAACAATGCTTTCAAGTAAATCAAAATCTGGTATTTTTAGTTTATCAACATGTCTGTTTTTTTAAAACAGTTCCTCTAATCCGAGTCTTTTCTGCAGAACACTTTCTATCATTAAACAAACAGTATTAATTCTGGTTTCTACTCTTCCAACAAACAAATTACTATAATCTTCATCAATATCATATTCACTTTCTCTTGTGGTTGATGTCGAATTAGTGATACTGGGAAGAATACAACGTTTATCTTCTTTTTGAAGACATTCGTATTGTTATATTTCAAAATCTTCTTTTTTATCGTTAAAACTTGCAACGATACGATCACATAAAGATAATTGATCTTCTATTTCAATGACAGTTTCTATTGCATTTCTTATACATGTCTGATAATTATGCGCATTGCAATCCAGTCTATTTATTTTTCGAAGAGATTAATGTTGTTTATTTGAAGCAAACTCGGATAAACTATCTCCAAAGCACATACCATATTATCTCCTTCGTCTGTTACTATTATAACTTCACCATCTTTTTCATTAAATGTAATATCATATTCAAATAACATTTTACAAACCGTTTCATAAAGTGATTTTGAAGTTATTGGCCTTTCAAGTGTTGGGCAAGAAAGTAACATAACACATACATCACCACTTTTGTTTAAAAAATGACACGCAAAAGCAATTGTCTTTTCTTTGTTACGACAGTTAAATATTCTTCCATCAGAAGTGAACGAAATACATGACAATCTTTCATTTTTTTAATATTTGCATTATTTCTTTTTTATCTCTTCTTGTATTTGTTTCATTTCTATTTTCAATTTTTCACCTCCAGGTGGAATGTACTTTCCATCTGAAATCGTCTTGCAAAATATTAGAAATAATTCATCTTTTACAATTGAAAACGGCAACATTTTTCCTGATATCATTTTTATTAAACATTTATCGTAATTTTCTTTTGTTACTTTGTCAAGTTTTGTGCCTTCCGTTTTTTCAAAATGTTTATTTTTTTATTGTAAATTAAATTATGAATGTCTTCGTGTTGTTGTTTAAGATGCCGAATAAGCGGATATTTGTCTTTATTTTTCCATTTATTCATTACTAGTTTGTAAACAAAATTACAATTATTACAAAGGCACTCATCTTTGTCTGTAGGATTCACTGTAAAGTAATCCATTTATTTAAGTTATTTTTCGATCTCACACATATTTGTATTTAAGTTCGATCTACTTAAATATTCAAGATAACTTGTTAATATATTTATAATATTTGAAATTTATTATTTGAAATACATTTTTTATAAAAAATAACAATTAATTGTTTAAACATATTTAAAAACATTTATCCGTTGTTTTAATCGTGTTTGTTTTTTGGTCTTAATTAATTAATAATGCCGATTTATTTTTTTTTGTTTTTTTATAATTATTAAATTTTTGTTTTTTTAAAATCATTTTTACGATCTTTTTATTTTTATTTTTTAGTATTTTTTGGTAAAAAGGTATAATTTTATACTTTATACCGGAATAGGTAAAATAAAGTTTACCTTTTTTTCCGTCAACCTTAAGTTTTATAATATTTTTCTAAATAATTTCTAGTTTTAATTTTTGAAAACTTGTTTTTTGATTATTCATTCATTTTTATGTGTTAAAATTTAATCATTTTTTTCAGTTTGTTTAATACTAAAACCATTAGCGTAGGACCATTTTCTCATGGTCTTTATTTATAATCATCAGTAATATTATACGCAATATAATTTATAATACAACACAAAAATAAAAATTCAATTAACTATTTCGATGTAGTTAGAAGTAAATATTTTTTCAGATCTTAATTGAACAGGAATATCATTAAAGTCCAATTTATAACATCTGTAAAAACAACTTGTTCCTATTTCAGAAACACTTTTTGGTATTTCAATGTGACTTAAATTTTCACATCCTTCAAAACAGTTTTCTCCAATAGACACCACATTTTGCGGAATGGTAATGTCGCTCAACTTACAACAATATTTGAAACAGTAATTTTCAAGGGTTGTAATATTTAATGGCAAATTGATAGAACTAATATTACAACAACTAAAACAACTCATTCCAATTGACGTGATACTTTCTGGTATAACAACGTCTTCCAATCTTGTACAGGTAGCAAAACAGCTGCTGCCAATCGACTTTACACTCGATGGTATTGTTATACCCGTTAATAATTTATTGCAACAACAGAAACAACAATAATGAAGTGCGGTGATATGTTCTGGCACTTTTATACCAATTAATTCTGAGCTGCAATTAAATTTTATGTTATTGATTATTTTGACAGTCGAAGGAAGATCAATTTGAAACAATACATCGACTCCACATATAACTCCATACCCAGTAACTCTTTCAGAATCGTCCATATATTTGAAGATTTTAAACAGAGGAGGTGTTGTTATTTTCCTCAAAGAAGTGCACGCGTCAAAACACATTCCACCAACTTCTTTAACAAAGTGTGGTATTACAATTTCGTTCAATTTGAAACATCGATTGAAACAGCGATCGCCAATTTTAGTGACACTTTCTGGTAGTGACACTTCTCTTAAATTGGTGCAATTTTCAAAACACATACTTTCAATGGAAATCACTTGACTTGGTATTTCAAAACTTGTTAAAGAGCTACATTGATTGAAACAACACTCGGGAAGTGTTGTAATGTTTTGAGGTAAAACGATTTTGGTTAAACTTGAACACATATCAAAACAACCTTTTTTAATCACTTGAACTGTGTTTGGAATAATTACTTGTTTCAAATTACAACACCCTGTAAAACAATAATCTTCTATTGATGTTACACCACTTGGTATGTGAAAAGTAGTTAAATTGGTTGCCCCACGATAACAGTAATCTCCAATGGATGTGATATTAATTGACTTTGGTATTTCACCAAACAGTTCTAAATCATTTTCAGTAAATGTCACGTTTTTGAATACAAAATTTTTGTTGTTCATGGAAACTGTTTGACAGTCGATATTAAACCACACAACTACTCTGAATAGTTTCTTTTTACAAAATAAAGATTTGAAAACGTGTGTTAGACCAAAAGTATCAGGATCTTTAATAACATTTCCAAAGTTTTCATCTTCTCTAGACCACAAATGAAGTGTTTCTATATTTAGAAAATAATTTATATTTTTTTTGTTTAGTGGAATTGGATTATAATGAAACTTCATCATATTGTCTTTAAACTTCTTACAGACCATTTCGATATTGATAAAATCATGTATCGATAAAAAGTACTTTGAGACCACCATTATATGATATCCATCAAGCTGTATCATTAATTTTGTTAACGATGGTTATTATTTAAAATATACAGTTGTATTTTAAATTATGAAAAATGTCGTTATTTTGACGAAAAAACCTTCAATAAAAAACTATAAAATAATAATAAACTATAGTTATAAAGTCTTTATTGTTTTATTTTTGGAACTCTTTGATTTTTTTATTTTTAATTTAAAGATATGTTGTATTGATATTCAAAAAATAATACTGTCCAACCTTGACATTTTGCAAACTTCAACAGCTTCAAAGATCTGTTTGGTTGTAAGAAGTTTTTTAAAATAATGCAAGTAATCGAAAGTTGGTTTATTTTACAATTGAGTTAAAATAAATAAAATATAATATGTTTGGCTTTTACGTTTTAATAACACACAAACAAAATAAATAACACATAAATAATTACGAATGATTATCAACAAAAATGAAATCACAATTTTCAATTTAATATGACAAATTATGACGAAATTCAAAATGTTTAATTTGGAAAAATGTCGAAATTTGACTGTAATAAAAAACGAATAAAATGAATCAAATTGTTTTGAACACGTTGTACTCTTTAGGTTATGAAAGTGTTAACCCTTTTTAAAAATATGGTTTTCGGTTAGAAAAGTGTTAAAGCAAAAAACAAATAATTAACAAAGGAATAAAATGAAAAAAATCTATTTATATATGATTAACCTTAAAATGGTCGTTGAATTAACACTTGTAAAGACAACAAACAAAAAGAACACCAGGGCAATACTCTTTGAACAAATTCCCAAATACATTAAAATCAACTTGTCTTCAAAATCTTGTTGTATGCCTTCGTATTCTCAATAAAATTAACACCAACATTCGCTCCATTCGTAATCAATTCGTTGTTTGATGTTTGCAACGCGGAAGCGGCAAACCCAATCATCAATCCCACCATCTCCTGTGTCATCCCGTAAAATGCAGTCAAATTCGACGCGCTTGCCATGAACGCCGCAACACTCTTTAACAGTGGGGGCGATATCCCAATCCAACAATTGATAATGTCATACAGCCCCAGTAATTCCAATACCATCACCTTCACCATATTATCTCCATACAAACATTCAGCACCAAACGTGAAATTCTCCGTGGACAGGGTGTTCGTTGCAATTGTGTAGACTAGGATGAATCTGTTCCATTGCTTCTTGTTATATTGCGTCCTCACACTCTACCGGTTTTCCTCCTTCCCCAATTGGTAGACAAATCCTGTAATCAGACGACAAAACTGGACCACAAGTTCAGGTACACACGTCACCACTGGATTTGCTATGTACTTCTAAATTTCCTTCTCTTTATATCCAAACGCTGGGCGTTCCTCTACAAGATGTGCTGGAATATCCCCTCTCAGCCGGTCAATTCGTGCCATTCTGTCCACTTCTTCCGCTTTATCCTTGTCATACATCACATTGAATTTTTCAACATAATTCTTCTTCAAAAACGCTCCAGACGACGTCACACTCTTCATCAACACAAGAAGATACTTCCATTCATCTTGATAAATCGAACTCTCCAGTATTCTCAAATACCTTTCCTTGTGTTCACTCAAATAGTACTGCAGAAACATCTCAGACTCCACATTCCCATCACACATCAGATACGACAAGTCTACCAACACCGTTCGACTCGTCTCAAAAATATATTTCCGATACAGCATCGCATCCCACTTTTCCCATCGGTGACATATCATCTTCGACAACGTGTGATAACTGATTTCCCTCGCTTTAAACGCCTCTTTCTTGTTCCGAAAGTGCACACTATTCGCCCATTCAAACAAATGAAAAAAATGATCACCCAAAAAGCCTTTTTTATTAAAATTATCATCATATTGATGAACAAATAATGACAGAATTTCTTTGGTATTATCTCATTCATATTATGCTAATAATAG